CATTGATTACTCGATTAGTTGATGGGAGGGCGCTCATTACCCTCTCTGCAGCGTCACAACAAGTTTAGCTCCCAGGGTGGGGGGATGGGGATGAACCGGGATTTAGCAGTTCTGGCTCCTGCCAGCCCCGGTAGCTAACCCTACTATGGCTCTGCTTTTTAAATGTAGTAAGAGCCTGCTGGGCTCATAGAATCTGAGAACTGGAAGGGACCTCAAGAGGTCATTGAGTCTAGTCCCCTCTCCTCACGGGTGAAATGTAGCTTAGTCAATAATGCAATGGTAAAGAGTTTATATACTTTGAATAAAGTATATAAGTCATTGATGGGCAACCTGCAGCCCAAGAGCTGCATGAAGTCCATTGCAGTTCTGTGTGTAGCCTACAAGATATTTTGTTTGTCATTGCCCACACACATGGCTGCCAGATTCTGTTGATTTGGGGCTAATGGGCTGTTTAATTGGGTGCAATCGTTTGGGCTTGGACTGGAACTCCAGGCTCTATACAGATGTCTAAACATCTTGCAATCGTTTGGGCTTGGACTGGAACTCCAGGCTCTATCCAGATGTCTGAACACTGCAAATAAACAACCCCTTAGCCCAAAGTCTTAGCACAAGTCCGTTGAAATGGACCAACTATGGGTTTTTAATTGCAGTGTGATCAGCAACAGTGAAGCCATGAAAATAACCACAGTCTCTGTCCCAAAGAGATTACAACCAAAGGCCCTGATTCTGCAACCCAATGGGATATCTCAGAGATGGAAGAAAGGAAAACATGTAAGCATATGTTTTAAATGTCATTTTAACTTTTAAATGTCATTGCCATCATTAAGACTTAAACGCATGTTTAGGTGCTTATCTGCACTGTGGCCCAAGTTAGGTCTGCCTGATCAGACTCTAAAAGATAGGTGTAGATGGGACAAGATTCAGTGGGTTACCTAGAAGAGGAAGCTAACTAGAGTGTGTGAGGGTAGGTGCATACAACTTTATATCATTCAGGGTCAATTAGCATATTTCTGCTTTTCTGCTATAATAATCAGTTATGTATGTGTAAAAGATTTCCTGGTTGGTTCTCATCTCGGTACAATCTCTCTTGAGAATCCTAGTTTAGAAGCATGTGCTAACAGAGGAGGGTGAGGGGGAGTGAAAGCAAAAGAAGAATGACAAGAAAATAATATATGCGGAAATGATGATGGGAAGGCAAACAGAAATTTGGTTCACATGACTGTGGATTGTCCTAAAGTAAACTTCTTTAGACAGAAATAGTAAATGCAATTTACCATCCTTTTTAGAGCACTACTTCCCAAGAGACCCAAAAGGGTCATGACAAGCCTGAGCCTTTCCCTCCTTTCTCCAGCAGAACTCTGACTAACTTCAATGGTACTATTGGATTGGGTCTGGAGAGAACTTACACATTTTGACATGTACCATTGAAGTCAATAGTACTACTCATGGTAACAGGTGTTTTCAGTACCAGGCCCTTGCTATGGATGATAAGCTGCAGAAATTGTTATGGAAGTAAGAACAATAGATTAAAAAGGAGTTATGGGTGTGTGCATTGGCTGTTAAGATAAGTGACACACATGAACTATAAAATGAGCACTCTAAAGTTAGGAAAGACCAGAATTAAAATTGCAACCTTCATTCAGCCTCCTGTGAGTGATGCACTGTGCATTAAGAAATACTCTCTTCAGTTACATGGTTACAGAATGTGTGGGCCCAAGCCTTATTAAAGGCACACCAGGAGACCCTGCACAGAATGTTCATTTCCTCTGGATTTTTCTGTGGTGTGCTTACTATAATATCTGAGTGCTTCACAATGATTCATGCATTTATCTTCGCACCATCCCTGCAAGATTGCATGGCAGTATTATCTGTATTTAACAGCTGGGGGACAGGCACAGAGAGATTAAGACCAAAAGTGTCAAAAGTATGTACTAACTATGGGTGCCCAGCTTCAGAAAGGGTCTTTTAGGCTATGTCTACACAGCAGCATTATTTCGGAATAGCTCACGTTATTCCGAAATAACGTAGTGCGCATCTACACAGCAAGCCCATTATTTCAAAATAAATTTGAAATAACAGGCTTCTTACTCCAACTTCTGGACATCTCATTTCATGAGGAGCAAGGGAAGTTGGGGGAAGAGTGCTTTATTTCAAACTAACTGCCTTGTAGGCAGCGCCAAATTCAAATTAAGCTATTTCAAATTCAGCTACGCAATTGTCCTAGTTCAAGTTGCGTAGCTTGTTTCGGCTTCAGCCTTACTGTGTAGACATACCCATAGAGCACATAGCATTTTTATGTCACTTTATATATGCAAAGCCCAGCTTGAGTTGAACTTATGAATTAGGGTTGCCAAATTTCTAATCACATAAAACTGAACACCTTTGCTCAGCCCCCTGCCTTGCCCCTTCCCTAAGGCTGTGTCTAGACTACATGCCTCTGTCGGCAGAGGCATGTAGATTAGACAGATCAGCAAAGGCAAATGAAGCCGCGATTTAAATGATCGCGGCTTCATTTACATTTACATGGCTGCCGCGCTGAGCCGACAAACAGCTAATCAGCTGTTTGTCGGTTCGTGCGCTAGTCTGGGCGTTCCCCCTGTCGACATCAAAGCCCTTTGTCGGCAGCCCCGTTATTCCTCATGGAATGAGGTTTACCGGGGCTGCCAACAAAGGGCTTTGATGTCTACAGGGGGAACGTCCAGACTAGTGCGCGAGCCAACAAACAGCTGATTAGCTGTTTGTCGGCTCAGCGCGGCAGCCATGTAAATGTAAATGAAGCCGCGATCATTTAAATCACGGCTTCATTTGCCTTTGCTGATCTGTCTAATCTACATGCCTCTGCCGACAGAGGCATGTAGTTTAGACATACCCTAAGGCTCCTACCCTGCCATGCCCCTTCTCTGAGGTCCCATTTACTGCTCATTCCACCCCTCCTCCCTCCATCACTCACTCCTTTTCACTGGACTGGGGCAAAAGGAGGGGGTGAGGGCTCTGGGGTTAGGCCAGAAATGAGGGGTTCAGGATGGCTCTGACAAGGGTTTGGAGCATGGAAGGGTGTGAAAGCTTTGGCTGGGCATGTAGGATGTGGGGTAAGGCTGGTGGTGAGGGGTTGAGGTGCAGGAAAAGGCTCCTGAATTGGCCAAGGGGTTCAGAGTGCATAATTGGGCTCAGGGTTAGGGTAGGGAGTTGGGTGCAAGTTCTGGGATGAGGGATTTGGGGTGCAGAAGAGGGCTCAGGGCTGGGACTGGAGGTTAGAATGCAGAAGGGGGTGAGGACCCAGGAGGTATACCCTCTGATGTGAGCCTGGGATGAGTGGTTTGGGGTGCAGGAGTGAACTCTGCACTGGGCCAAGGTGTTCCAGGGACTACAGGAGGAGGCTCAGAGCTGGGGCAGGGTTGTGGTGTGGGATCTGGGCAGTGTTTGCCTGAGGCGGCTCCTGGAAGTAGCTGGCATGCCTGACTCCTGAGTGCAGGGGATATGGGCTCTCATGGCATCCCCATGTCCACCCTTGCACGTAGGAGCCGAACATCCTGGCTACTTCTGGGAGCCATGTGAAGTTGGGTGGGAAGCCCACTTTAGCCCAGCTGTGCTGCCGACCATATTTTTAACAGCCCATTCAGAAGTGCTGACCAGAGCCACCAAGGTCCCTTTTTGATAGGCATTCCAGTTGAAAACCTGATGCCTGGCCATCCTATTCTGACGGCTCATCACTTCTGCAAATCTGCCCCACTTCCCTTCATTCATAACAAAGTGCATCCTTCTTCCCCACCTCACTACCTGGGCAACAGGAGGGAAGATTAGACAGCACAGGAAACACTCATCCTACTTTTGGTACCATAGATGCCTCCAGCTGCTAAGAGGAGTGATTGCATGACAAGCCTGGTTTAACCCCAGCAACCCTGGACTGGAACCCTTGCATGACAAGCCTGGTTTAACCCCAGCAGCTCTGGACTCAGTCTTTCTGAAGGGCTGGCACATTTGCAGTATAATCATTGTGAGGGGCATAGTAAGTACAGATGGAATCTTCGAAGAATTTCACTGCTAGGTCTCTACCAAGCATGCGAAAACTGTGACTTCTATCTTGGACTAACCAGCGCAAATTTTATGGGTTAACAAATAGCTCAGAGCAACCCCTCTACCAAATTTCAAAGATCTGCTTCAAAGCATGGAGGAGCTACAGTTTTTTGATGCAACAGATGAAAATTGTTTTAACAGAGGCAAAATAATTGTATTCCCCCTTCCAATCTTGTTCTGGAAAATGGCCTAATCATTGTTGCTAAAATTTTCAAACCCCCCCCCCTCACTCTGCTGCTCCCACCCCCCACATGGCCTGAGGCAGATACTTGGCATGGAAAATTCCAGGCCAAACAGTTAAAGTTTGGCAAAGTTGTAAAGAAATGAAAACAGGGGCTTGTGATGGAAAGTCTTGGGGAACCTTAACTTTAGGAGTGATACTAGTTCTCCCTGTAATGTATTTGTATGTTTTATATATTTAAATTACATGATTAATATAAAACTTTAAGGAAAACATTTTAAAAATGAAACCAGAGCTCTCTTGTTCAAGATTCAGTCCCTGCTTTTATCTTATGAGAAATGTTGTCACAAAACACTAGGATTTTACAGTATTTTCTTGCTTTGGGGCATCATTTAGAAGTCTGTTTGGGTTTTAGTTCTCTTTATTCTGCTTTTATATAGTAGAGTTTACTAAACTATGAGGCAACAAATAGATTAGCAAAAGCACTGACCAATTGTACATAATCCACCAAAGTTGGCTGGGGAGACAGGGTCTGTGTGCACTCTTTTCACAATTCTCCCCCAATCATTTTTGCATAATCCAATGGAATCCAACAAACAAAAGCCCCTCACAAATCAGATGGTATTTAATTTGAGTAGTAGGTAATCAGTGAAAGAGAGTATCCTGGAGAGAAGGTAATTTGTCTTGAGCTGACAATTTGAGATGGATGCTCTGGGGTTATCTGCAGTGTCAGTTCACTCAGAGATGAAACTCCATTTCTCTCGCTCTGAAGTCTAAAGATCCAGAGACCTAAGAGATAATAAGGTATTTTAAGAGTTCACTCTACTCCTTGTGTTTCTGTATGGCAGATTTTTGTGCTATAGTGCTTAGCATCTTTTCTCATATATGGAGAACTCAAAAAAAAAAATCAAGAGAATTTATTTAGTAATTTAACTATAAAGGGCAAATTAATCTAGATTACATAATGCTGCATTTCCCCTTTCTACTGGAATTGATTGACTGCCTCTGATCAGATGTACCACATTCCACCACAGAAGGGGCTGACATGTAGTGACTGATGACCTTTTTCCAGAACTGCTAAGTTTCCCAAACTGTGGTCCATGGACCAGTGTAGATCCGGGGAGCACTTGCTAGTGGTTCCATGGAGAACTGGCTGGCCATATGGTGCTGATCCTTTTTTAAATCAATTATGACTCAAGGCCTGCTTAAAATTCAATATGGCCTGGCATTAGCTTCTTTGCTAGAATAAAGGCCAAAGCATCAACCGTTATCTTGGTATTTTTAAGTCTGGTTTAATCTAAATGAACTCTGCTCATTTTAAATGAAATCACTAGGCCATCCAAATGGACTTCAAATGCATGTTGTGTGTAAGTGGACAGCAAATGAAATGCAAACCACAGATTAGGGAGCTGTTTACCCAGAGCTTCATCTGAGGAATAGAACTTGCCCAGTAATAGCTAATAGTAATTAACTAATTTTATTTTAGAAAATGTGCAAAAATGTATTAAAACATACTTTAATATTATTCAGTCACGTCTCCTGAGGAGCTTGTACTGTATAATGGTTTATAATAAGGGGGAAAGACTGTATATTTGAGCAAGTTTGTGTCTGCCCAGCCATGAGTCTGTTTGTTCAAGAACTACTCCTAAATGATAAGAGCTAAGACCACCAAATTTGGTAGGCAGCTTCCTCTTATCAAAACTTAAACCAAGGCCAGGGTTTGGTTGTGCCAAAACAATGGGATTTGCCTGGAATATGATTGTTAATTCTCATAAAATGGAAAGTGGGAAAGGGGGTTACTATTAGGAACACTTATACTGAAGAATGACCACAGTGTGGGTGGACACACTGGGAAGAGAGTGGCCAGCTGGAGGTGGGGCGCTGGGTGTTGCTGGCCACTGTACATATGTAAGATTCTTGTGCTGGTGGGCAGTGCATCGCCTCTTACCCCGGCCAGCCCCTGGGGATATCCCACCCAGGCAGCGTGGTCCCCGTCTCCCTGACCAGCCCAAGGGAGCTGGAAACTGAGCAGCATGGCCCTGCTGCTCCAATCAGCCCCTTGGATCCGCTGGCCAGGCACTGTGCCTCTGCTGCCTCCACGAGCCCTGGGGAGCCACCACCCATGCAGTGTGGCCCCCTCTGCCCTGAGGATCTGCTGTTTGGTCTATGCAGTCCCTGCCATCTCTGACAGCCCTGAGAATTAGCCAGCCTCCTGCACCCCTTCCCCCTGCCCAGAGCTCCCACACACCTGCTAACCCCCCGATCTATCTCCAGCACCCACCCATCTCCTTCCCTGAGCCCCCACCCTCTGCCATGACTCATGGTCTCCTTACCCCCTGCTCTCGGCCCCTCTTCACCCCCCACTCCTAACCCCTGAACCCTCTAGCATCTTGTCCTGTGCTCCTCCTTAAGGACCCAAGCAAGCCGAGTCAATGTGCTGCTATTTGAATAACTGAACTTTATTATTAATTATCATTAGTTTAGTTTAGTTTATGCATACACTATGGAGGAATTGTAACAGATAATAGGAAATTGTTCCTGCCCCAAGAACTTCCTATTGAAAGCTCAGACTCAAACAAGCATTTATGCACTTTTTTGCTATCCCGATTCTCGAAACCACTTATGCACGTTCTTAACTTTAAAGCTTTAAACCTAAGCCAACAGAATGCAAGCACATACTTAATGCAATGAAGGTGCTTAAGCATGTCTTTCCTGAATAGGGATGTTGTGCCTAAATAGACAAGAGAAACACAGGGAGGGAAAGAAGTATTACTGAAGATAGGGTGCTATTTAAACAATGTAGATTAATTTTTTTATGTACAATTTGCATATTTGGGCCTATTTGCCTCTGAATGTTAAGTGGGTGCAGGTATTTCTGTTAATAATGAGAGATGGTCTGGCCTACAACAAACTTTGAGCTTAGTTTATTTAGAAACACAGTTCTGAGATTTCAAAGTACATGAAATATCTTCTTTTAATAACCAAAACATTTGTTTGGATTCTCAGTCAAATCCAGAGTCTTGTAATTATAGTCCAAAACAAGAGCTATTTCATGTCTTTCTTATGAGTCACAAATCATTCCGTTTCTCTGTGAAACTTAAAACGATTTGGTTTACTCAATACAAACAATTCAAAACAAAATTATCATTTCAGTGGTCCTTTAAGTAAACTGGGTCAATATTTTTTTTCTTTATCAAAAATATGGCTTTGTTAAAAATGAAATTTTCTCTTTCTCTCACACACACATACACACACACACACACATTTAAAAACTAAATTAATGAAATTGATATCTTATCAGCGTTGCAGTGAGAAAAACCCATTTTCCAATCACGTCTATATTTGAGCTATTACATTTTTTCATATTGGAATTTATTGGTATTACCGTAACATGGTCTTCATAGATTGTATATTTGTTGTGGGCCAGAAATAAGGGGAATTTCTGTTATTAGGAAAATTGCTCTCAGCATATTAAGACTGAATTATTCAGGGGAAATGGATGGCCTAGGGATTAGTAATAGGATATGGAGTCTTTCACCTCTAGGTCGCTGCAGCAAATCCAGCCCAGGTTGACAGCCAACAACATCTGAACTGGATGTTTAGTGACTTATCTGAAATGAATCAGTGATTTTTGTCCTCCTGTGTCTAGTACAGGGTTTCCCAGCCTGTGGGTCGGGACCCAAATATGGGTCGCCGTTACATTTCAAAAGGGACACCAGGTGTCTCCCCAGGTTGCTCTCCAGGAGCCATTCACACATTTTTTGAATTGTCCTGGGTTACCAAGTCTTCCAGAATTGTCAAAAAGGGTCCCCATCTGGAAAAGGTTGTGAACCACTGGTCTAGTAGAATGGAGCTAGATTCTATCTCACTTACACCACTATATACTGCATGATACCCTTATTAGCAGTCTCAGCAGAGATGAGAGAGCTGAATTGTTATGGATATTTAAACTGGTAGATTTGTTTTATATGTCAGTGTTACAGTACATTGGCAGGCAGTATGGGGGAACTCTTTATGGAGAGGGCGATGGCTGTACTGCATGGATTCTGATCTAGTCTCTCCTCCCTTTGAGATGTTCTCTTCAGAAAAGGGGTGAGGCA